TGTAAGCTTGAACATTTCCCAAGGACGACTCCAAAATAAATTATTTCAGACTTAACAGAGGCCGCTTAATAAATTCCACTCTTCCAGTTTCTTTGGGTATTTTAGAAACTGATTTATACATACAATATCTCTCTCAAAATGAGACAATCAACACAGGATAAAATTATTGAGTTATGAAAATAGGGGTCAGATGGAGGTGCAGTGCTTTAAATTAAACCGGCAAAATGTATCTTTCATACTAAATTGACTCTTTTTGTCTTGGAAATGAATGTTTAATCAGTTAAGACGCTGAAGTCGAGTGAGAAGCTTTAAGCATATTTAATTTTGTAAAAGGGGCCCAATTCCAATACTGCACAGGATTCCTGCCAGTAGCCAGACCTTAAAAGCGGAAAAGCCGGGCGGCCACGCACATCAGGAGGCCACCAGGCCAGGGTGGGGGACCAGAAGGAATCGGCGGCCTCTGGACCAGAGCCAAAAGGGCTGGGCATAAACGAGATGGCTGTCAAACGCTCTGGCCTCAACCACATCTCCAGGAACAACATCCTTGATGCATCTCAACCTGTCCAAATAGCATCTGTGACCTCCTGCCCATCGGAACACCTGTGCCGCCTGCGGCCCTGCAGCCCAGCTGCTCCATCTCAGGCACCTGGTGAAACTGAGAGGTGCATGGGAGCAGACACAACTGGGCTGGAATTCTGGGTTTGTTTCTCAACAACTGTGTGACATTCATTCATTCATTCATTCATTCATTCATTCATACAGTGTGTCAGCTCATCACTTCCTAAAGGTGCCTCTTCTGGGCACACATAGCAGAAACGGAGTCTTCACCTGTCTCTCTACCTGCTCCAGGAGTTCCTCAAGGGCATCTTGTAGGGGCGGCTGGGTGGCTCTGTCGCTTGAGCATCTGACTCTTGGTTTCTGCTGTCACGATCTCACGGTTCATGGGCTCAAGCCCTGTGTTGGGCTCTGTGCTGCCAGCATGGAGCCTGTTTGAGATTCTCTCTCTCTCTCTCTCTCTCTCTCTCTCTCTCTCTCTGCTCCTCCCCTACTCATGCTCTCTCTCTCAAAATAAATAATAAACATACATTTACATATATGTTTATACCTATGTTTATGTATATATTTACATATATAAACATATTTACATATATTATTACATATATACATATGTACACATATGTAATATGTAATATACATATACATATGTAACATACATATATTTTACATATATTTACATACATTATATGTGTGTGTGCATAAAGGGCGTCTTGTAGACCCAGGGCTCAGACAATGCCTGGTGCTTAGTAGGCTCTCAATAAAGGCTGCTGCATGGTCGATCACCATACCACAGGCTGAAAACAGCTCCCTAAAAATGTCAGGTCCTAATCCCTAGAAGGTGTATTTGGGAAAAAATCTGCAGGTGTGATTAGGTAAAGCTCTTGAGATGGAGGGATTATCCTAGATTATTCCTAAATGCTATCACAAGTGTCCTTACGAGAAAGGCAGAGGAGACTATACTGACATAAGAGAAGGCCATGTGAAGACAGGCCAGAGGTTCGAGTGTTGTGGCCACAAGCCAAGGATGGCCAGCAACCTTCAGAAGCAAGAAGCAGCACGGGATGGAATCTCCCCAGAGCTTCCGGAGGAAACTCACCCCTCCAGACACCTTGAGGTTGGCCCAGTGACACTGATTTCAACCTGTAGCCTCCAAAGCTGTGAGAGAATCACTTTCTGGTTGTTTTAAGCCATCATGTTTGTGACAATTTGTTAGAGCAGCCACAGGAAACCAATACAATCACCTGCCTGCTCCAAGCCTCCGTTTCCTTATTGTAATGCAGCACTCGGTTCTTGGGAGCAGTGTGTGAGCAGTTTGTAAAGCCCTCTGCACCATGCTTGACACCTAGCAGGTGGCGAAGCAAATTCCAGCCCCACCCTCAGTGTGCACATCCATATGCACACAGACACACACCTGCATCCTACAGCTCAGACAAATTTTAAAAACTTGTCTCTAAGGGCGCCTTGTCTCTCTTCACCAGACAGTCCCGACAGATGGACCTGTGCTTACCCAGTTTCCCATTTGCTCCGGTAGCCCTCCCCTGGATAAGAAAGTTTAGCTTATCTTTCATTACATAACAAGGGAATATAAAACTCAGCAAACCCTTGAAAACTAATGAAAGAATTCAAGCTATCTGAATTTGTGAAGCATCTTTAACATGAGCTAGTTTTAAAGAAATATGGAAAATGACTCAAAGTGTCTATTTGGAATGAGCCCAACCAAAACATATCCTAGGAGGAAGGATCAGAAGATCATTTTTGATTAACAGACAGCATTCTTTGTAATTATCAGAGCTGCTGTAATCAGGTGGCCCTACAAAAGTACCTGAGAGTATCTGCAATCTGTTCCTTTAGGTAAGGGAGGTTCACGGAAAACATTGCCATTTGGTTCCGGTGGGAATTCATTGTTATTACTACTACTACTACTAATAAATATTCCCTGATCGCTTGTTCTCTGCCAGGCATTTGCTAAGACTGCACACATTATCTCAGATACACTTCACTACAGTCTTGAGGTGGGTACTGTTATGATTCCAAGATAAGGGAATGAAGCTCGGGAGGTGGAGCCAGGATCTAAGGCAGGTCTGTGAGACTCTGGAGCCCACACGCTAGCCACTAACCCACTGTCTCCCCTGTCCACCACACCAGAGGCCCGCAGCACTGCGGCCCAGGACTACAGCCATACTCACCCCTGCATTCACAGCCCTTCCCAGGGCACATGCCAGAGGCGTCTGCGGGCCCTGCCCTTGCTTGTGTTACCATAATTCCCCAAAAGAGATGGTCTGGAGTAGTGATGCCTTGTGAGCAATTAGCCGCGCAGGCAGCTAAGGCACAGCATTCTAAAAAAGTGGAATTAAAAGCATATGGCTCTGGCATCCTGAGGTCTCTTAGAGAAGAGGAAACCAAGGACCTGCATTATTGATGGGCCCCAAAGAAAAGCATTCCTCAAAAAATGGAGGATCCATTTCCACTGAGCACTTGAGTCAGACCCTGAACGTTACAAGATGTGGAGCTTGAGTTGGCTGCCTCCCTCTCCCCTCTGCCTCTCCCTCCTTTTACTTCTCACCTGGATTCAAAGAAGAAAAAAATGTGATGTAGTTTACAACAATACATAGAGGATACCAGCTTTTTTTTTTTGTTTTGTTTTAAGCAAGAAGATTTGGTGATAATAAGAGTAAGGAATAAATAAAACACAGTCAAGATTGTTAGAATACACACTGCATGCCCAAAGGTCCCGGGCATCAGCTAGAATTGGGCCAAACACGTGGCTGTGGCCTCTGAGTATCCCCTGCAGAGACGAAAGTGATCCACCCAATACCAAGTGATTCTGATAGGAAATCAACTATGAAGTCCCTTCTCCTCTGCCACTGCTGAGTTTGTGACCCAAGCTGACAATATCGAAGATTGTTCCTCCTGGACACAATGCTTGGTCCAGCCATGCTCCGTCGTGGTCCCTCCCACCTCCCTCCAGAAGACCCAGACTGCCACTTGCCAGAGATGTCAGGGAAGATGTTGGTTACCAGCAGCCACCATGCCTGCTGTGTGTAAATGGGCATAAGATAGGGACCTGATGACACTACTGGGGTTTCTGGATCCAGCCATGCCTGAAACCCCATGTCCGCCCCTGGATATTTCAGACTTTTTTGCGTAAGCTAGTTTGAGATTGGTCCCTGTCACTTAGAAATGAACTTAAGAGTTGTGACTAGTATATAATACTAACTGTGAAGGAAAAAAGCAGAAACTAAACAGGAATCATAGTTACTCAGGAGAAGTACTACAATTCCCTTAAGGGTCTTTTTCTATTATACAAGCAATGCTGTGCTAGTTTTCTATAGATCTTGATTGTTCAAATCCACCATTATGCTAAGAAATCATACATTTTCTTATCATGGGATTCAGGACCCTTGTGGTCCAGGCCCTGCTAGCTCTTTCACCTCCTCTTTTTCTCTTGCTCCAAGTCCTTTGTCTCCAGCCCTATAAAGAAAATGAACCACGTGCTGTCTCCAAGCAAGACGCGAACCCTCCTGCCTGTTACTTTTGTACATGCTGTTCTCCCAACCTGGAAAGTACTTTCCTGCCCTAGTCTGCCTGCCGCATTTCTACTTATCCTGAAAACTTTAACTCGGGAACCACCCTTCTCCCTGGTAGTTTAAACAAGATACAAAATACAATTTTTTTTTAATTTTTGCTAACATTTATTCTTTTTTTGAGAGACAGAGAGAGACAGAGCGTGAGTGGGAAAGGGGCAGAGAGAGAGGGAGACACAGATTCGGAAGCAGGCTCCAGGCTCTCAACTGACAGCACAGAGGCGGACGCGGGGCTCGAACCCACAAACTGTGAGATCATGACCTGAGCCGAAGTCAGACGCTCAACCGAGCCACCCAGGCGCCCCCAAAATACAATTATTTTAAAACTATTATGATTCTATTTATATAAAATGTCCAGAATAGGCAGATATCTAGAAATAGAAAGTAGATCAGTGGTTACCTGGGGCTGGGGGTTGTAGGGCTGGGGGTGTTGAGAATGATGACTAAGGGGTACAGGGTTTCTTTTCAGGGTGATGAAAATGATCCAAAATGGACTGTGTTGATGTTCATACAACCCTGTGTATCACCTACTGAGTTGTATACTCTAACGGGGTGAGTTGTATGGTGTGTGAATTCTATCCCAATAAGGCCATTATAAAATAAAAATAAAGATGAGATTATACCATTAGAAATAATGACAAAACAAATAATACCAAGATATTATAAAGAGAGTTCCAGAAGCTACCTGTGTGAAGACACAGATTATTCTCCATGCCCAGCCCTCATATTCTTCAGACCCCCATGCAAACATCCAAGCCCACACCCTGCACACAAGCACACAAAACATTGGCATTTTTCTTTCTTAACCCATTTCCCTACTGTAACCAGCAGGAACAATGGTGGGGGAAAAGGACTCACCGTGGGCAGCTGGCCTGACAGCAGGTGGCTGTCCTGGGCCAGCATGTTGGACACCATGATGGCTGGGAGGTCCATGGCCTGGTAGGAGTAGGCAGGGAGGAGTCCGTTGGGCGTGAGGCCGTGGCACAGCGAGTGGTAGCCAGCTTCGTGGTCCCCCAGGTGCAGGAGGGATGGCTCAGGGAGGTTGGGAGGTGTTATCGGGGGGATCTCATAGTCTTCGTTGCTCTCGCTCTGGCTGTTGTAGGTCTAAAACATCAAAGGGGCATATTGTTAGGAGTCAGTGTCTTACAACTGCAGAACATGTTTAATAGCACCAATAAGAGCAGCAACAATGGTAACAACTTCTTGGCAAAGCAAAGAAGGGATGGTCCCTCTGCAAGGCAGACAGTCAAGATGGCCCTATGACTTGGTCAGATTCCTGCCCCATCTCTAAATGGGTGCTCCCTCTCACTAGAGGGTCTGTATACAAAAACCTGCCCTCCTGGAGAATGGGACCAGCTCTTGTTCCTTCCCCTCTCTTCTTCATTTTCCATTCAGATCTGGCCACTGCAGCCCACTTTGAGCCCATCTTCCTATACCCACCCATTTTACAGATGGGAGAATTCAGGTCCAAGAGGAAAGTGGCAGGGGAAAGACCCCAGAGGAAAGACACCAGAGGTACTGGCTCCGTTGGAAGAGCATGCGCCTCTTGATCTCAGGGTTAAGTTCAAGCTCCAGGTTGGGTGTGAAGAGATTACTTAAAATGTTAAAAAGACCAACAAACAAACACCAAGAGGAAAGTGGCCCATCCAAGGTTAGTTGAAGAGTTGGGATGGAGCTGAAGTATCCTGATTTCCTGCCTGGTAGTCTTCCACAGCAGTTGGATGCCTTTCCCTTGTGTGCCCTGAACACCCAGTCCAATTGGGTCCTCTCTTGGTCTTTCTCATCTTGGTAAATGGCACAAACATCCCCCAGGAGCACAAGCTAGGAGCCATACTGGACACCTTCCTCTCTAATCCTTGTTTGTTGTTTTCTCCACCTTACTGCACTGATAAGGAAGCTCCAGGACGATGCTGAATAGAAATGGTGAAAGTGGGGACCCTTGCTTTCTTCCTTATCTTAAATAGCTCAGTGTTTTACCACTGAGGTCAATGTTTGCCATAGGCTCTTACAGGAATTCTGTAACAGAGTGAGGGCGTTCCTATTTTGTCAAGGTGTTTCTTTTTCTTTCAACTGTGCATGGGTTTTTGTTGTTGCTGCTGCTGTTGTTGTTTTTATTGGAATCCCTCTCCCTGCATCTACTGAAAGGCTCAAGTCACTTTTCTCCTTTAATACAGTTAATATGGTAAATTACTTCACTTGGTTTAACATTAGAAAATGTTCAAGCAACCTTGCATTTCTGGAATAAACTTGGTCATGATGTATTACTGTTTTTATGCATTGCTGGATCTTGATTGCTGACATTTTGTTCAGGATTTTTGCATCTAGTTCATGAGTGAGACTGGCCTGTAGTTTCCCTCTTTGCCTTCTGCCCTTATTGGGTTTGGGTACCGAGGTGATGTCAGCCTGGGGGATCACTCCCCTTTTCTATATTCCGAAAGAGATCAGGGCTCAGAGAAAGGATGTGTGCAGACGGGAAGATGGATATGAGAAAACTTCTAGGAAAGAGCAGTTAGGGGACACTGAGGACAAAGGGAGGGTGTCCAAAGGACACCTGTTCAATCAGCATTCTGGAAGAGTGACAGAAGGGAAGAGGAATAACTGAAGAGATAATGGTTGGGAATATTTCAGAACTGAAGAAAGACACCAGAGGTACCGGCGAATATAATGGTAAATCTTAGAACAATCATAATACATAATGTGTAAAGGGGGGGGGAAACCCCACAATACCAGAGTAGAATATGGGAAATGACATCTTTCCAACATCCTTGTTTTCTTTGATAAGTTAAATATGTATGTTAGAATAACTAGGGTAGTTGAAGCCCAACACAATACCGGCTTCCTGGTAAGTAGGCTCCCAGTAAATACTTGTTGGATGAGGCCACTGAGCGCTAAGGGTGAGTAGGATTTGAGTAGAGGTGTGGCGAGAGCAAGGAGCACATGGTATCTAAACACCTCTTTGGTGTCAAAACTTTTCTCCTCAGGCACCATGTTTGAACCTCACCACAACTGCCCAGGGAAGAGCCCTGCATATCTACAGAAACATGCTCCGAGAGGATAAGCGCCTTGCCACACTCACAGCCATCCTTGGACCCAGAGCCCAAGCCATCACTTGCTCACTGGCTCCCTCTGCAGGGCTGCTGCAGGCTTATTTCACAGATGGACAACGTGCAGTCCGGGAAGAAGTGATCGTGCTGGTGGCAAAGGACATTCACAACCATCAGGAACGGGACCTAGTCTTCTGCTCCCAAGATCTGGCTCCTTCCCATCACATGAAACTGCTTCCAAGATCTGGACCAGGACTCAGGAGATGGGGCAGGAAAGGCTTGCATAGGTTTGGGGACTGACCCCTGCCTCACTGCTCTATATGTACACTCCAATCTCTTTATTGCATGATCATTGCCCCTCTCTGGACTCAGTTTCTCCATTTGCATAAAGAGAGGGGAGGATGGACTCATCTCATCCATCTCAAGCTCCGTGGCTAAAAATATTAGCTACTCGATCAATATCTGTGAAATTGAATCTAATTCAATAAGGGACACACAGCTGGTACCTGAGGTTAACAGAATGGCCAGGGGAGGAGACCCAAGGAAGACTCAGTCCCTCTTGATGAAGCTCAACACATAGGTGGAAACCATGTCCTGGTAAGTCTCAGATCTTTTGTAAACAAATTCCTCAAGCTTTTTTTTTTTTTTAATCAAAAAATGTAAGTATCTAGCATTTATTGAGCATATAGTATATGCCAGGTGCAAGCACTTTACAAACATTTAATGAGTTAATTCTTAGAACAATCCAATGAAGGAGGTTTCTGGTATTATATGCTCATTTTATAGATAGAGAAACTAAGACACAGAGAGGGGCGTTTACTTGCCCAAAGTCACACAGTTAGAAAGAAGCCTAATTCCAGTCACCTTCCCCTTCCTCCAATTTATACTGTCTCCAAAGGAAGGTAATGTGTCCTTTCCTGTGACACAGATCCTAAGATTCTGGGTGCACATAATCCTTAGTTGCAGTGCCAAGTCATGGCCAAATTGAGGGCTTGGGGACCAAGAAACAGGCTTTGATCCAGCCTTGTTATTGAGGAACTTGGCAAAGCAACACCTCCTTCTAAATGGTGCAGATCAAAAGCACATTTCCTTATACAGGACCCCAACCCAGCCCTCTTTCTGTCTCTTACCTAGAATAACCCTCCTGACCCTTGACCACCCATCACGCAGGGTGTTTTATATGCATGCCATCTCCAATTCTGTCTTTGCTCCATAATCTCCTAGGCATGTGACACAAAACCTGGAATGTGCTCATAATACCCCAGGCATGTCTATAATGACCTCCTATGTTTCCCTAATTACAAATGTGTGTCTAATATGACCTTGGATAGCTCTCTAAACTCCCCAGGTATATCTACCCTGGTGTGGGTTATCTCCCTAATTCTCCAGGTGAGTCTACCTTGACATGGATGTCTTCCAGGTTCTCCCGGGTTCCCCAGTTTTTCCAGCTTTATTAAGATGTAATTGACATGCAATTAATCCTCCAATTCTTAAAAGAATCCTGTATTTATCCCCATTTGACAAATCAGATAATCAAGATCTAGAGGCTTCACCCAGGTTACAACACTAGGAGGGAACAGGGTCTGATCTGTATCCTCTTCAAGGAGTCTCCCGGCACCATCCCCCACTGAGACTCTGTCCACTCTGCACCCAGTGCCCACCTCCCAGATAAATACATTCTGATCATTCCATGCTTAAAAACTAGTACACCTCTACTGGAGAGTGTCTGGGGGTCGGGGAGAGAGAGAGAGAGAAAGAGACGGAGAGAGAGAATCTTCCAAACATCTTAGCATGGTTCCCTGGGGGGATGAAAATCGTTTTTCGGGTTGCGTTTTGATGCACTTTGGTGGGTGTCAATGCCAATTTTGCCTTTGAGCGCATCTCCTCCAAGACAAGGCGCCCACAGGTCAACTGGCATACTGTTATGGTTAAGGCTATGAGTGGTACAGGGCTTGGTGAAGGGAGATGGCTATAGAGGGGCAGAAAGGACAGGGGCCAGAGTACCACCAAGTAATCAGAAATGGTGGAGGAGAGAAAGCTCTCTGTGCCCCTCTTTGCTCTTCTATGCCTAGCACCTTGCTTATAAGACCCCCATCATGATATGAACCCAACTACCCACCCTTTCTCACCCTCACCAAGAGAACTGAGCAAGGCTTTGATCAAATTTCACCAGAAATCATGGTCACCAGCTCTCTGTGGTGTTTCCATACTTCTGGGAACCAGTCCCTCCCAGCTTGTTCATTTCCATGGCGGTTCTCCCTAGCCTGTCTTCTTTCCTCATCCTCTAGCACCTTCTCTGCCCCTTCGCCCAGTGCAGATGACCAGATGACCTTCTACTTCGCAGGGAACACAGAAAATAACTCTAACAGCATCCTGATGCCAGAACCACAAACTTGCCCATTTGGTACCAACTTGCTTCCTGTTGTGATGCCAGAAGAGCCACCCCTCTTTCCTAAGGCCAAGCTCCTTGCTTCTATAGGTGGTGATCCTTCCCCATCTGTCCAAGGACCTTGGGCATCCCATTAACCCTTCTCGCTCCTGGCTTTTTGGCCTCCCCCTCTGCTGGACCACTGTCATCAGCACTGAAACATGCCCATCTCTCTCTGGTCTTGCACACTCCCCCATCCCTCTCCAGCTGCTACCACCTCCTTCTGGTCCATACCTGTCTTCCTAAAAGGGCTGTCCTCATCTGTAGCCCCCTCTTCCTCATCTCCCACTCACTCCACAGCCCACTGGGACCTGCCTCCTCTGCCATGTTTCCAGCTCCAATCTTGGCACCCATCTGAGCTCCAGATCTGAGCATCTAAACACCTCCCCTCACCCAATATTTTCACCTAGTGTCTCACAAGCCACTCAGGGTCAACATGTGCAAAGCTGTAGTCATGTTGCCCTCCCCTACCCTGCACCTGTGTTTCCCTCATCCAGTCCTCCATTCAGTTAATAAAGCTACAGACTTGGGGCTTACCCTTGGTCATTCCTCAAATCTAGTAAAACTCCTCTAAACTATCTTTTCAACATACCCGTTTTTCTCCATTCCCACCGCCACTGCCCTGGTCCAGG